GGGGGGGGGGGGGGGGGGGGGGGGGGGGGGGGGGGGGGGGGGGGGGGGGGGGGGGGGGGGGGGGGGGGTGTCCCCGCCTACGGGGACCCTTTCTTTTGTCTCTGGACAACGTTGTTGTTTGCCCAACAGGATAGATGCAACATCGAAAAGCAACCACGATGCGTTAATTGGCTTGAGGTTGACAGCAGCAGTGTTGTGCTTCTTTTTGTGTCCTAAAGTTTTTTGTTTTTGCTGCGTGCTCCACCAACCGGGGGAAGGCGTTGTTGGGGTTATCAAAATTGGCGCTCTAACCAGCGCGTGTCAGGTCGTTGGCCTCCTGGTAATAGGATCGCCTGGCGTGTTTTCGAGGAGCCTAGTCTCTCCCGACCACCTTGCGCCACCTGATGATGTATTGATGGGAAGGTTAAAGGTTCCGAGACTATTGTTTTCATTGGTTTTGGGGGAGTGGAAGCGCATGCCGTATACCTTTCTGGGTCGTAACGTTGGCGCCGAAATCTATCCTCGCTTGCCATGCCGCGTATGTACCCGTGTTGTTCTGTTTGAATATCAGCGACGGTTTCACTTCTGTGTGTTTGCCGAACCCGCGGCATGCCATCTCTCATGATGTCTCTCAGTGAAGTGCCGTGTTTGCTATTACTGTGTTCAGGGGGGTTTCATATCGGTGGCCTGTCGTTAGCGTCCGCCAAAGTCTGTCTTCACTCCATGTATTCGTAGCAGAAGGCGGTAGGCTAGAACGAAGAGGATTGGTCCATGGCCACCTTCGCAACCTAGTGCCAGGCATTCACAAGGAGGCTCCTGCCGTGTGTGTAGTCGTTGGGTGCCTGCATCGGAGCCCGGTCCCTCCTAAGCGCTTAACCACGCGTGTACATAAAGGTCCTGGTAGCAATACCATCCAACCATGTACGTCTGCGCGGTGGGAGGGTTCGGGTAGTTCAGGAGTTGGACGTACCAGTTGACGCGATTTCGCAACTGCAGGACTTGTTTCTAGGGTAAAACAACCCGTCACCCGCGTATGTGAGGCGTCCAAACGCCCCACCCCCTGCAAAACATTAGGCAACGTGTGAAGAGAAGCAATGCAAGGTAGGTTCGGTCAACGTTGTGTAGTTTCGTTCCTGAGACGTTATGTGGCTGGGTTGTGAAACGACATGCCCTCTATCGGATATGCGCCGGACGTGTGCAAATCCGTATGCATTCCTCTGTGCCGTAATATCGCTTTTGGAGCAGTAGACCTAAACAATGAAAATCCGAGATATGTCCTCGATGTGCGTAGGTAGGCTGCATAGTAGAGCCGAATCACTCTACACTTGTGCGACAGACTTGCACGAGACGCGCGGGGAGAGAGAGAGAGAGAGAGATCCCAGCATGAGTTGGACTTGAATTGTGGAGGTATGGGCGTGTATATGTCCAAAGGGCACGGCGGCACCCTCCCGGCAGTACCCCCACTTTCATGAGCCGAAGATTCGCGAGAACGCAAACCTGTGACGTCATCCAACAACAGTATTATTTTCGTTTTCGGCTTTGCGACCCTGGTTCTCTCCGACCCCTTAGCGCTGAAGATCGAAGTTGTTTTTGGTGTCCGCGAGCGTACAGCACTTCACTATCACGCTCGCGAGATCTTGTCTTGAGCGTTTCTGAGCAGAAGAAGGGTGACTTTAGTTCCTTCCTAAAGCCAGTTTAACGAGTAAGTCAAGGACGAGGCCAAGCGGAAATTCGCGCGTCAAATCCATCTAGGCCCCCAACCAACTCCATCGGTGAAGGTTCCACCCACACCACGGTTTTGGCTCCAAGCAAAACCCAAGCTCCACAAACCAGCCGGAATGTTATTCCAACACTCTACAAGCCAGTGAACTGCACTCGATGGTAAAACGAAAACAGGTGCAGGTCTCAAATTATGATATGTTGAGACCGACGACTTGATCAGCCAGGCAGGGATGCCCGCTTGACCGACCGATCCTCTTGCGCCCACACGCAAAGGCAGTCCAGCACTAGTTGATGGAGCTACTCGCGGTTTCGATCATTCGCGCCTAAGTGCGAACCAAGAGCGAGAGTTTCCGGCGGTGCAACATGGGTTACAGGAATGAGTCTGTGCAAGGCAGTTCGTGTTGTTTGTTCGTTCACAGTAGGGCGACACAACACACATGCTCACCCGCAAGACTTCGCAGTCTAACTACTCAGTCATCAACACGGGATTTCTGCGCGAGCCTGGCGCCCGTTTTTGAGCCCTCACCTTGACCTGTTCCTTGGCGAACCTGTCTCTGAGGGCGATCGCGGCCGCCCGATCTCCGATCATCATGCACATCGCCTGCGTCGGAGTGGCCGGGATGTGCGGCGCCACCGAGGCGTCGGCTACCCTCAAACCAGAAATCCCGTGGACTCTTATCATCAATACAGAACAGACAGACGAAGGTTTTGCGGAAAAATCGGCAGGTAGGAACGATCACGTTACAGGACAAGAGATGTTGAAGGGGAAGTACAAAGTTATGTACCATCCCGAATTACCTTGCAGCACGCGCAAACCCCACCGCTACAGAGCAAACGACAATAGACGCGCGAAGAACTCCTTCAAGCTTGCGCACGGGTCGACACCAAGTGGGTGGGTGGGCGCAACAAGTAAACTGCGTGACGCTCATCCAGCCCGGAACAAGCTACCTCTGGCTGTTGGCTTGGGTTTGTCCGTCGTTGCGCGTTGTTGCAAATCTCCGAACCCACGAGACCACAAGTCGGTGGCGTAGTTTCTTTTAAAAAAGCAAAGACACCAAAGCCGCAGAAACTCACGAAAAAAACAAACGTTTACCCTAGTGGGGCAAGTACGCAACACAGGCTCGACACAGACCTGAGGTCGTCGGCGGAGACCACCGAGTCTTGAACCTCTCGTCCCATCCGGCAGGTGCCCACCGGGTGGAAGTAGGGCAGGCAGCACTCTCTGGCGAACTTCAAGAAGCTCTCGTCGTCGTCGCAGTTGTTGAACCTGATTGGCGCGCAACGACCACCCGCCGGCCGCCGGAAAACAACGTCCCGAAGGAACGCGAAAACACACCCCCACACCGTGCTTGAGTTAGAAGCTTTGCATCCACCACGGGGTGCTTGCTTGCATGTGGAAAGTCGCGGTTGGGGGAGGGCTTCAGGCGAAGGATGCGGGGCTCTTGGGTCGCACCGCGTGTCAGTGCAACAAGATGCCTCCTTGCCAGCACTGGAAATGAACGACGAACGTCCAGCCCTCCCCCACGGGCAAACAGGTCTCGTGCAAAGTTATCAACTCATAAACAAAGAAGGGCGTTACTTCAAATAACCCAGGAGAGGCATATGGGCTTTTACCCAAACCATAGAGAAATAGGTCACCCCACATACTCGCAGCGGCAGGCGCACGCACGCAACAATCACATTCCCCAACCTCCAACCCACTTTCTTCCGGGCAGGATCTCGAAGCCAAAAACAGCCTTGCCGGTGGTCGTCTCCCTCTTGGCCCGGCGGATCGTGCGCCAGCACTCTAACATGGCCCGTCGGTCCTGCGGGTGCGAGAAGTACCCCGGGTCGATCACAGGCGGCGCCTCGGCGTCCGTCCCGGACGCTAGGCGCACCGTTCCCTTGCTCTTGACGGTAGTGACGAGCATCAGGTTGCAGCGGGTGCCTCGGAGGATTCGCGTCAGCGGAGTGAGCCAGGTTGCCACCCAGATCACCGCCAGTACCACGCCGCGCCCCACGGCGCCGAGCAGCCCCGGCCGCACGAAGAGCATGGTGATCAGGCCGCTGAGGTTCCGCACGAGGAAAGAGCCGTCCCCGTGGAGCACGCCTACGACGGCATCACCCGGGGAGGGGGTCTCCGTCCGGGAGGAGGAAGAACCAGCGGCGGTGGTGGCGGTGGCAGCAGAAGGTGGTCCGGCGGGTGCTGCTACCTCCTGGGGAAGCGCACAGGAGAAGTAGGTCGCGCTGTGGAAGGAGTCTTCCGTGTAGTCGGCCTCTGTCATTCGCGTCTTGCTAATGTTCAAAGTGGGGAGAACCAGGTGGTCCTGGAGGTTTTCGCCAACCTTTTTTCAGTTGAGGGGCAGACCAAGCGCATGGGACGGGATGGGGGGGGGGGGGGGGGGNTCTCACATCACCAAGCGCGAAGCGCCGTGAGATATTCGGCGAGTCGCATGAAGGGTGCGCTGCATCCTGCTAAGGGTTTTCGGCATCTTGTGCTTACTTCCTTGCGTACGGATGACAGCTACGTATGAATTAATTTATTTTCTGGTGCTTTCACTTCCAGAGACAGTTGTAAGCTCTGTGTAACTGCCTCGAGGGTGCTTGACCATTTCAACACAACGTGGTGCGATCATCCCCCTTGCGCGGAGTGAGGGTTCTCCACCCCGCACAACATGATCTACTCGACCACCACTATGGTTACCGCCAAAAAAAAAACCGAAGGTAAAAAAAAAAACGGTAACCTGGTTGCCGAGTTCACGAAGTGAATTGGCTTGTTTTACAACGTCGTTGCCAAGCGACGAAAACCCAATCCCGATGACAAACACCGGGGGGGGCGGGATGGGCGAGGGGAAAAAGTCAACCATGCTTCTGGGGAGCGGTAGTGGTCCCGTTGACCGCGCTCGAATTAATGCAATTCGACCATTGGGTCAGCGTTCGAAGGTTCATGGTGGATCGATCTAGGAGCCGTCGTGTTTGAACAAGATGGGAATCAGAACAGTTTCCAAAAAAGCGAGCGTGAGCATTACCCACGCCAGAGCAAGCGTGGAGCTACGTAGTCCCCACGTCGGACGACACACAACGAATCGACCCAAAATCACCACAAAGTCCGTCTCTAGCACGAAGATATAGTATAAGGCACACATCTCGCGCGCGGGATGGGAGAGAAAGGGAGTGCATGAAGCGAGAGGGAGACAGAACAAGATATAAATAGGGAGAAAAAGAGAAGCTGCCCCCAACATGGCCACACACAACACTTTCAACTCGGTTGCACGAGAAAACCGCCCCCCCCTTCACTCACATGAGGCATGTCGACCACGACCGGCACCCCCTTCTCCTCCAGGTGCCTCCTAGGCCCCACGCCGGAGAGCATGAGGAGCTTCGGAGACCTGAACGCCCCGCAGCAAATGACGATCTCCGCGCGGTCCTTCGCCAGCCGCAGCTGCCGCACCCGCGTCCGCCGCCGCCCCCCCCCCAACCACCGCCACCCCGGCGCGGACTCTACAACCTCTACCCCAACCGCGCGCCCGCCATCGATGATGACGCGGGACACCGCGGCGTCGTCCTTGATCTTGAGGTTGGGCATCGTCGTCACGGGGCGGACGAAGGCCGACCAGGCCGTCTGCCTCTCCCCACCCCTGGTCGTGGTGCGCTTCATCGGGCAACCGCCGAGGCCTAGCCTGGTCCAGGTCGGCTCGGTGTAACCGTCCTCGCTGCGTGAGGACAACGGCCGGGGGGGGCTCTTGAACCCCACCTCTTCGAGCATGCGGGCGCACGACGGGGCGACCGTGCCGGTGGTCGGGAGCTCCTCCAGGGTGAGCTCGGCCTCGATGGACTTGAAGCTCGCCTGCTTAGGTCATGATTGAGAGAGGGATTTCGTGCTGTTAAGCGGCGGTAAGCGTGGACTCCATGCCGACAGCATCTACGGCAGTAGGCGGCCAAAGGGGATGTTCAACAAGGACTCGAGAGGGGTGAGAATCGCAGACGCGTGCAATATCGTTGGGTTCTAGTGGCGGTTTGACGGCCTGCAACCTGAACTGTTTTGGGACGTTGTGGTGGATGTAGCCGTCTTCTCCGGAGCTCCCACAGGAGCTTCAGCTTCACTTAGATCTCCCTGGGTACCTCGCTGTTTGTTCTTCAATCACCAAGAGGTGATGCACCGACGTGTTCTACGCACTTGAGTGCAAGCATATCGACGGCAGTTAAGCTGGAACATCCACAGATTTGGGCGGGAGATGTAACTCGAAAAATAATTTGAAATTGTTTTCCTCTCGCCGTGTTAACCCACCAACGAGCAAAGAAGTAGATGGTTGCACTGGTTGTGAGCACCTCCGACACGTTCGAATCACCGTCGATTGCGTTCGAAGGGGGCGAAGGGGTTCAATTTAAAATATCGGACTTGGTAAACAAGTACTATTCTAGAGGCGGACAGAGGAGAGAAGCCTCTTGACAGAAGCGCGTTTACATCAGTCCCACGGGGAAAACAGCGTTGAGACGCAACCGCGATGTTGGCCGCATATTTCGAAAGAGGCATAGAAAATTATTATTCGGGGGAGCGGGGGGGGCTTGGATGCCCAGGGTGCTGGGGTGAAAGCCTAGCCCTGTTATGCTCAAGTCGCGTGGAGAATCACCCGCACGTGCCCACCTCGATGTCCTTGAGTTCCCAGGGCCAGTGCTTTTCGTAGTCCTCCTCCCTGTGCGTGTGCCAGACGACAAGGTTAGAAACAGCGGTCCGGTGTAGCCGTCTGCACGCGTTGCATGTCATGATTTACGGGTTTACCGTACCTGTGCGTGTTGTGGCACTCGTCGGGTACTTCGCACCCATCGGGGTTATGGCACCGGGGTGGGCAAAAACAAGCAAGAGCGGTATGATTGAAATGCGTTCCCGCACCGGTATCGGTGTTGTCGCACCCGGTGCGACATCAACGATATTGAACCTGCGAACGACGTAAATTTTCAGTATTGCGTGCTTCCGGAAGGTACCACTACCCTCCAGGCCAAGTTTTGAGCTATATGTAACGAATGGCTACGGGGTGCCAGTAGGTATCAACTGTGCGCTAATCCTTTCATATACATCGTGCCGTCGAGGTGTACGCGTAGAAAAATGTTTTTGTTACATAAAGCGTGTATCGAATGCACTCAACCAAGAAAGGGGAAAGCATACATGCCGCACCTCCTACCGACCGAACAAAGAAAGGAATTCATAACGGTAGTGTCGGTACTGCTTTGCCCCTTGAGGAAGACAAAAAAAAGAGGGAGCACCAGCCAACAAACTAGGTTTGCGACCAATAGTCTAAATAGCCTGGAACACAAACAGATGCCGTGAAATTTCCGCCTCGTTTGGTAGGGACATAATCTAGACAATATTGTTGTATACCTGGTGCATGTACTTCGACTTGTATCACTTCCTCGACATAGGTGAAGTGTTTGTGATACCGAAGTTGTGTGCACGTGCTTGGGTACGAACCCTGTACCGCAAAGCTGCTCTACTTGTAGCACGAAGCGCTTGTGTTCGATTCTTCAGTATCATCGCACCCATCGCCTGCACTCAGCACCCAGCAAGTACCAGCACCGCAAATAAGTCACCCTTTGCGCACACGGAGCATGTTTTTACAGTGTTTGTTCCGCATGTTCTGAAGGAAAGGAGAGCAACACAGTCAAAACTTTACGCTAAGCTGTTCGGTGGGTTTGCTTCTATCTATCGGCAGACAAGCGCACCTTCCTCGTTGGTATAAACCAGCGTTGACGTTGCTCGAGCCTCCGCCCCCGACGCCGTTGTACGCGGGAAGTTCGCGGTAGCCGAGGCCGGCCTGGGGCACGGTATTAAAGGCCTCCGAGAGACCCTTCCCGCTCGAGGCCTGGTGCACCCAGCCCGACGGCCGGCCGACCACCTTGGCGAGGGTCGAGGCGTCAGCCGGGCCCTTCTCGACGAGCAGGACCTTGAGGCCTGCCCGCACAAGCCTGGAAGCCAGCACGCACCCGCTCGAGCCTGCGCCCACGATAAGAAAGTCGCAGTCGACCGTGTCGTCGGCTGTAGGGCTTGCAACGGCCATATTCGCTTTGATCTCGCAACCTCTGTGCCGCCGCAGTGAGGTTCCGCCTTCACTACATACGGAGAAAGAGACGGGGGCGTAGAGAGAGAGAGAGAGAAGAAGCAAAGATAGAGAGGGAGAGAGAAAGAGATAAGACAGAGACAGAGACAGTCGAGAGGCAAAACGGGCTTTTTTGGTGCGGCGCTGATTGCTAATGCACCGTCAGGTGCTGCCAATCAATACCAACTCATGCGCCGCCTCTTTTCATTTGTTTGCTTTCTCGCCAGAACCACCCCTGTCGGCCAAGGAACAGCAGTGCACTTTGGGTACTTCGGCGCTAAACGCGTGCATGCACCTCGACCCCCTCGACAATCTTTCCGATTTCCATGGATCGCTTTCGGAGAGTGCACGGTGAACAGCTGGCATCAGCCGGTATACCGGAGCGGTTCCATGAGAAGCTCCATCAAAAGCTAGAGAATGAGGTACCCTGTAAGGTTTAAATGGTGCGGAGAGGAAGGGCCATGATTCACTCCACACACAACCACCGCAGGGGCGCGGGGGGAGAGAGAGAGAAAGAGAGACAGAGAGAGAGAGAGAGAGGGCGGAGACTTCTCTGTGGTTCAGGCCCGTGAGCAACAATCACGAAATCATGAGTAAGACACACGTGTGGGGAGTGGAATGTGGCGTCTGATGTTGAAGTGTTTTTCGACGATCGACATGTATGTTTCGGATTCACTCCGGTACCCCACCCCGCAGCATGTGCACGAGCCGCTGTAGGCTGCTGTTATTATTCAGACTTCAACACTTGTACTCCACACGAACGTGACTGATCGATGAGCTGGTGACAGGATGCTGAGATGAGTCAATAATGGCGTGAAGAGATGATCGCGGATGAACTACATGTACACCAAGTTGTACTGCTGCTAGGTCGTTTCTTCCCTGCACTCTCTCACACCTCCGCTGTGCGATCTGGTCGACAAACGTACACAACAAGGTGTTCGACGCCGGGGACAAGCTCTTCATCGCCCTCGACGAGGAGGGCGGCAGTGCGGCGCAAGATGGTAGCATCGGCGACTCGTCAGAGGCACAGGCGAAGGAGGGCGAGGGGGAGGAGGACGGGGGGAAGCAGGCTTTTCGTCTAACGAGAAAGGTGGTCGTGAGAGACGAGTACGTCCACAGCGGCGAAGACGACGAGATATTCCTCGTGGATCGTGAGTCACGGCAACAGTACCGGGAACCACTTGAAGAACGTGCTATTTCGCGCGACCCTGACGTCTTATTTCCCCTGTGGACTATCAGCGTCTACTATGTACTCGTTGTTGTAGTAAAAGCGCCAGTAGTCAAAACGACAGCGGACCAAACGGCGCAAAGCTCACGTTCGTGGTTTGTGGCGAAAACCTCCCCCCTCACCACGCGCACGCTCCCCTCACAGATGCATGGACTTTCCAGGCAGGCAGCGCCCGCGAGCAGCTCCGGTCTTGCGAGCCCCTACTTGAACGAATGGCGGCACTGATGCAAGTCCAGCCGTCCCTCGCCGCCAGGAGGAACAACAACAAGGGGCTAGCGGAGGCCAAGAAGAGCGTCACCGGCGAAGGCGTAACGGATGCCGAGGGGGACAGGGGGCGACAAGAAAGCGGCAGGGATGAACGCTGCCGCGAGAGGGAGGGGGGCAAGGCGCGAGTCCTTGAGGGGGTCTTGGCCGCGCTGCCGACATTTTCGAAGAGATACGGGCTGGGCCGAGCGGGGATGTACGCCTCGTACGTGAACGACGAGCTGGGCAGCGCGTTCCGTCACAGCGAGAAGCCCAACTGCCAGGTGCGTCTCTCGTGTTGGTGTTTTGATACTTGCTTGGTGAGGCTTGTTTTTTTCGTCGTAGGAGGCTGCGACGGTCCTTCTGGGAAAATCGACTGGAAACAAGAACGGCGTGAGTTGCTGTCAACAAGGCGGGCCTCGTGGCGCAAAAAACTCACAATTGAGGGTTGGGGTACGCTTGTGGCTTCAACGCATGGGCAAGTCATGATATGATGTTTGAGGTGAACCGCAAGAACCAACAAAGGAACGTTTCGGACGGGACGTGATCGCAAGCAGAGAAGCTTGTTTTTTCACAAGGCTGCGCACGTGCTCTGCTCTAGAGAGCTAGAGCGACAGCAGAGCAGCATCCCGGACTACCGACAGGCAGTTTGGGATGTTTGGTTCGCCGGTCCTATGAATACCTACCGTTCGGAATCTCGGAATTCCGTTGAGCAACCCCGAGTGTACTATTATAGGAGGAAAACCCTCTCACCGCTGCCCTCTTAAGAGTACACCGCCCGTCACAACTGTCCCCCCAACAGCATCCAAGCTAACCTAGTCTCCGTGTGTGTTTTCCCCTCCCGATTGATCGCTATTGTGCTCGCGAGTGGTTGTCTTCCTTGTCTTTACAGATGTCTCTCTTCATGTTCAGCAGCCCGAGCGCCTCCGTCGGCGGCGGCGGCGGTGGCGGCGGAGGTGTCATCGCGTACTCCGTCCTGTGGCCGCTGCGGCGCCTGCGGGCGTCTGAGGAGGCCACCCTGGACCTCTTGCGGTCGACGGCCTGGGCAGGGGCAACGAGCGTCGCGGCTCGCGGGGCCTTCGTCCGCGGGCTTCGTCTTCCGTGCTCCCTGGTGAGTGGAAAGGGTGGGTTGTAGGCCGTGAGTCGTGAGACGGCGGTGGTGGTTATTGCTGTCATTGCCAAATTTGTTTTTGAGTTGGCTCAAAAACCTCGAATCAAATAAACTTACAACGCGGGTGCTGAGAAGGCCAGCGGTGTACATTCAGCACTGCTGTCATCATCGTGATCATACATGAGCGCGAGATAGGCGTGTTAAATATCGTCGAAAGGAACTGTCTCGCGCCGTGTTGCCGCCTTCGTGCCGATCCTGAACACTCTGGGACCTCCGCGCAACGTCACCAGCAGGACCGACACGAGTTTCCGGCAGGTACCCACACCCACCACCACGCCGACCACGAGTCCCTGAGCCTGCCCCGAGACCGCCTCGCCAAACGACATCGCCGCATGGACGCCTCGGCGAACGAGTACCGTGCCCGGCTTGCCGCCACTGCTATCGCCGCCACCACCGCCACCGGCACAGTAACGCCGGCGGCGCCTGTCGCCGTGCAAGCTCCCGTCCCCCCACCTCCCCCATCGTCCGGCGTGGGCGCTGCTGCACTTTCTCCGCCTGCCCGTGGGAGAGGGGATGGGCGGGGCGGGGCTCCGCCGTTGTCGGTGTGGACGGATTTGCCATACCTTTCGGACGGGGAAACGGGGTTGACACGTCCGGAGTTGCGCGTGTTGGATTGCGGACTGGCGGCGGCGGCGTCACCCAGAGATGCCGACATCGTGTGGGCCTCGAGCTCGATCGACCCGGAGTTCCAGGCTGCTATGGGGTAAGCGGACTGTTTTACCTTTTGGAGTTAGTTTTTTTTTTTTTGTCGAAGATCTGGTTCAGGCGACTGTCAGCTACTGTGGAGTCTCCCGTCTTTATTTCCTTGTCTCAATGTTTTGTTTGCCGTTGGTGTTTGATTTGCTGTTTTTGTCGAAGATCCGGTTGAGGCTAAACTGTCAACTAGAGACTTGTGCTCTTTCTTCCTTGTCTCAATATTATGTTTCCCTTTGGTGTTTGACTTGGTTTTTGTCGAAGATCCGGTTGAGGCGAAACTGTCAACTAGAGTCTCTCCATCTCCCTCCTATCGGTGAATCAAAAGTTTGTTTGCCCTAAACAACACCCCCGTTTCTCCGTGTTCATCGCTCCGCCAGCGGGTACAACGTCGCGACGCGATCACGTCGGCCTCTATTGTTCTTCGTTCACGGTACTCTCGTTGTTCTTTCACTTCCCCATTGGCCGTTTGCGCTGCTCCCGAATCACGATGCCGTGTGTCGCGACGACGACCCCCAGCGGTCTGCGGCCGGGCCAGCTGGTGAACCAGTTCCCCTACGAGGCGGCCCTGGTCGTCAAAAGCCACCTCGCGCGCACCATCCAGCGGGAGTTTGGCAGCAGGAGTCCCGAGGGAGACGTGATGCAGCCGACCTTTGACATGCAGGCAAAAACCTGGCTGGCTGAGGCGCTATAATAGTAGTGCTGCCGTGTTGGTCTTGTTCGCTTGGTGCACGGCGTGCCTCTGTTACTGTTGCAGCCGGCTTTCAGCGCCTCGTTGCTTCATCGGTGCAGGTGGTAGGGGTGGTGGAGGTTGTTGTATGTCTTTTTCCGACCTCCAGAAGCTCCCGCGGAGCAATCTTTTTCGGAAAAGCGGCGTGTAGTACTAGACACGCGACAGTAAAATATATTCACGCCCCCAGGGCAAGCAACAGTTCTGAACCCGTTGGTTTCGTTGGTCTGAAGGGGAACCCTTCGACGGGCAAGCACACGCCGCGGTCGGCGTTTCGAACAAGGTAATCACCGGCTTGTTCCAACGGGACCACCGGCTTGAATGTCGTTTGTAGCAGTCTTCCCCATCGATATCTACTGTAGCTCGTGCCGTTTCACTTCCGTGCTCTCCCCTACAACTGCAACTCATTTCCCGGTCTAACTGGATCCATCGGCCCGACTGGCTACCTGTCTCTCTCAGGTCGAGGACGACGCGCTTGCCTTCATGGCCGACTTCCGCCGCCGCCACGATGCCGGTGCGGACAACATCTGGATCGTCAAACCTATCGGTGGGTTCTTTTTCGTAGCCGGTTTTGTTTAGCGCGGTTCGGCGGCGTGAACCGTGGGTATACGTACGTCCCAGTCCCCGTTGCAATAGGCCGAATGGTTGTGTTTTAAGCAGGCCGCCCGAATCAATGGGTGAGTGATGACGCACTAACAATCGTTTTCGATTACCCGATTATCGCCACTTTGGTGATCCTCAAGGACATGTTATAGTCGTTCGTGTACGGTGCATGAGTGGCAACAAGCCAGGACGAAAATGTGTATGTCGACGCGATTCTTACGCTGGTTAAGCCGAGGGTTGACCCGCTCCTGGGATGAATCGATCGCTCTCGCCCTCCCCTCCCCCCTTACCCTCGCGCGCCCCCCGATTCGTTCGGCGTTGTGACGGCTCGAAAGGGTTGGCGAGGAGCATGGACACGACCGTTACCAGGAGCTTGGCAGACGTTCTTCGAGCATCGGATACTGGCCCTAAGGTGAGGCTCGTGTCTACCGAATCAACCAACCGGCACGGAGCTTAGGACTGAGGCGAGGCCCCTGGAAGGGCCGAAGGGGACTGGGGGAGAGCGCGAGCGGCGGTTATAAACGGGTTGGCTGAAATTGATGTGCAGACAAACAGAGAAGGCGACTCACGCACCACACGAGATACCGTGGTCACCCATCGGAACACTTTGCCACACACACGATTGGTTGCTGTCTCCGCCAGTCTTTTTCATCCTTGAGCCGGTTTTCCGCGCGGTCAACGCCGCTTGTTATTTAGCTCAATAGAAAACCCTCGCGCCCGCTCGCGAAACAGGTGGCCCAGCTGTACCTGTCTCGCCCGCTGCTCTGGAAGCGCCGCAAGTTCGACCTCAGGATAGTCGCCCTGCTGGTAAGCACCCACCCCCTCGAGCTGTACGTGCACGACTGCTACTGGCCGAGAGTCGCCGAACGGCCCCACGAAACGGAACCACCCGAGAGGAACGACCTGCGACGAGGAGAGGACGTGTTGCTGTCGCAGCTGGAGGACCCCCGGGTTTCGCTCACGGCGATGCACCTTCTCCAAGGGCGGGAGGGGGGGCAAGGAGGCACCGCGTGCCACCCTGATCACGAGGTGTGTGTGTGTGTGTGTGTGTGTGTGTTCGCTGCCGCTGATGGCAGCCGCCAGAAGGCACCAGCAACACTACTGCTGTACCTGGCCCGAGCGTTCACTTATTTACGAAAATGTGTGCTTGCATACAATCACAGGAAGACCACACCCGTTTGAGATAACACCGCAGTTAGATAACTCCACAACAATTTTCTGGCACTCCTCGTCTGAAGAATGAACACACTGCTGGCGGCTCACAAGGACGAGTGCCCCTCCGCCTCCTTTCCCTCGCCTCTTTCTTTTTTTTTCTTTCGTCCTTTGGTCCTCAGGATTTTGCCCGAGAAATGAACGACGCGGTCTCCCAGCGACACGTGGGGGCCACCTGGGACGACGTGATGGCCAAGACAAGGTGGGGCGTTTATCTCGGACGTTCAAGGGTCATCATCGTGCCATGCCAGCCTTTTCCTCTGAGACCCTGTCGCACGCATGGAACGCACCCGTCAAAGTGCGAGTCGTCGAGGTACATTTTTCCCCCGTGGACTAGGGGGCGAGAACCGGAAGAAGACGAACACCACATCGAGAGCCCCGGGACATGTTCCAACCACCACCACCGTCTTCAATCGCCACGGTCGAACCACCCACTCCCTGGAAACCTTAAGCGGGGGGGGGCAGTAGCAACGTCGAATCGGTGCCCCTCTCCACCCCTCTAGTTTCTGTAAACCGACGTCCTCCGCCTCGAATGAAATCCGTGTGCGAACGCACGCAGGGCTATGATTCTCTCCGTCTTCCGGGCGGCGACTCGCCAGCAGCCCGGCATGAGGAACGGTTCCGCCCGAGCGATGTACGGTTGCGACGTGATGGTGACGGCGGCCCTGGAGCCCCGGCTGCTGGAGGTGACGTTCTCCCCCGGGAATCTGGCCGCTTCTCCCGCCTGGACTGTGAGTGGTGTAGATTGCCGTGGGCCACCGCTGCTTCCCCCGGTTGAATTTTCGTTGTGTTTCTCGACGAGAGGTGACCCGTAAGACTTGTTCGTGCCCTTGCGTGGGGATGGTCACGCCGGTCGCCAAGACACAAGGTGACCGCCAACCAAGATGCTTGATATTGTTGTTGTTGTTGTTGCTGCTGCTGCTGCTGCTACAACTGATTGCAACTGCTGTTCAAGCGTTGCTCTGGCTAGAATCTGGTCGTGAGGTGTCGACTGCTCCTGGCCTTACCGGTACAAGAAGGAGGGTTGCACGTACGTGTCGCTGATCGCGTTCTTGTTTCCCGCCTGTTCATTCGCCTCGGCACCTCCGCCACAGACACCCTCTTGGTACCACCCCACCATACCACAGCCCCGCTGCCCTGTCCCCCACGGGAGCGTTACCGCGGTGAAGAAGCTTGGTTTGTGCGTTCCGTGACCGAAACAGGCTCGGAGAAAATCAAGGCACGGAAACGAAAATCTCAACAGTATGACGGAGGAATCCCTACACTGTAGTCTCGGTGCCGCTTAGTACATGAAACAGAAACTCCCTTCCTCGGCGCCGTTTGTTTTTTTGTTGCGGGCTCGTGCGCTGGACGAGCAGGTTCAGCGGCCGGACTTCTTGAACGAGGCATTCGGTTGCCTCTTTCTGGGGGAGCAGAAAAACGTGACCCGCTTGGCATGACGACGAGAGGACACACACAGGGGGGCCCAGCCCTACCCGCATAACACCGACGCTACTCCCTAATTGGTGTGTCGCCCGGGATGGCCACCTCATACGCTCGGCGTCGGCAGGGAAAATATCCTCGGCGGCCTTGTATGCCTTGCTTGAGGCGTCACATCACGAGTTCGATATTGTACTGCTGCTGGGTAAGTATTGTCGCGAGGGAGGAAGAGATGCTCTGGGCATCGTTCGTGGTGGGATAACGCATCAGGTGGAACGAACGAGGAAGACGACAAGCAGAACGTTCGCTGCGGGATGGAACACCTCGCCACCGCAAAGTGTACTTTCATGACCATGGTAATGGCCATGACCTTTGGTGCTTGGTGGTGGTTGGTCCCCCTCGCTCGAAAGTCTGCGGGTGTCTAGGAATCCCAATCCCCGCCAGGTATCTAGAATTCTACCGACAAAATCATGAGGGAGAACGCAATCTCGAAGTCAGCCCCTTTAATAGAGTGATTGAAGTTTTTAGTTTGCATCGGGGAGATTGTCTGCCATCGGTTGTCGAGGCTGACGAGCATGGGCTCCGCCAGTTCGGAAACTTAAGGACAACAGACGGGTTCCCCCATGCCCGCTCTTGTGAGGGTCTGTCACCAAGGCGCTTTTTCCGCACGCAAGAACTGAATGCAGGTCACCTGCATCCTCGAGGCCAGTCCAATGGAATCTAAAGCAGCACTCCAGTACTGCTGCTGCAGTGTCCCATCTCTTCTGAACGATGGCGGCAACACCGAGAGAGTGACAGAGGGGGTTTCACGATGCTTACGGTGCCAACATAAGACGTGGAAACTACTGGAGTGAAAGCTTGACTGAACTGGCATGCAGCAGCAGCAGCAGCAACTTTGCATGCATGACCGTATCCTGCTTCAACCCAGAGACAGAACCTGGGAGTTGTTCGTCGATTCTACTGTTACCGCTGCTGTTCTGGGGGTCTATACAGGCTTTCCATGAAAATATTTCCGCATACTCGCCACGACTTCGCATTCGGCTGCTAGCGTTGCTTTTGTTGTCGTCTTCACAAACAAACGTCTATGGTACATCTTTAGCTACTCCCCCCCCCCCCCGCGTGCACCGTAGAACCAAGGGAACTCTTGGGGCCCTCCAAAGGCCTAAGGCCCCAACCATATCAAGCACATCCACACCTAACGTTACAGCTACATGGGTCTACAAAACATAACCACCACAGAAAGACCGAGACACTACGTTACACTCGCGAAAATGACCACCCTCCCGCTCTTCGCCCGGCCTCGAACACTCTACGACGCCC